GTCAGAATGCGCTTCAATGGAGGTAAGAAAGCTCGACAGAATGCGCTTCAATGGAGGAGAGTTATGGAGAGAAAGAGAAGAGTTGCGCGGCAATGGAGGTGAGAAACCCAAAATGCGCTTCAATGGAGGACGACAGGAAGGACGAGAACAATGGTGAGGGTCGTATGTAGGCGAGAACGAGAGAGGAAGAATAATTGATGAAGTTGCAGTAATGGAGGCGAGAAGAACAACAATTGGGAAAGCAGGGGATGGGGAATGCGAATTGAATGGAATAGTGCTGAACGAAGGAAAAAGAAGGTAGTATAAGCTAAGGCGGGTTTTTTTTTTTTTTTAAATGCCATCGGTTCGAACCGCTGCTAAAAGCACCTTTCCCCACCGGTTTGGGTTGAACCGGTGGCAAATTTGTTTTCCTCCTTTTTTTTTTTTTTTTTAACAAAAACAATTAGGATTTGGCACTGGTTTTTCAGGAACCGGTGGCAAAAGTGATTATCCAAAATCAAGGCCCACTATTTTTCCCACCGGTTTTTAAGAACCGGTGGCAAAAGGGGGGTGGCTTTTTCAATTTTTCTACTAGTGGGTCGTCTTCTTTGCAGGGATGTTCATAGCAAAATTGGAAGTGAACAGATAAGCAAGCGTCCTGAAATTATTTACACAACCAGTCGGCAGGTTGCCGAACCATTGTTGTGCGATTCCTTTGAGAGTCGCTGGGAAACACTTGCACCAAGTGGGATCATCCAACCCTTGGAGGTACATTAGGTTGGTGAACGCCATTAAATGATCTTTAGGGTTTGTAGTGCCATCGTAGGCGCCTACTAACACATTCTTAACTTCGGCCGGCTGGGCGGCCTTTGTAATTTCCTTGGAGAAGGCAGACGACTGTTCTCCAAATTCTAGCAACCGTAGTTGCCAGTCCAAAGGTTGGACGTTTTTTGCCACCTGCCCTCCAAAGAAAGGAGACTGCAAAAAGTATTGTTGTTGCGTTACGTATGGCATGTTTGGTACCGACTAATCTTTATGAAATCCGGACCGACGGGAGGTGCCGCATGTCTGACTCTCATAATTTGATTGAGTATACCTCATGGAGGTATTATGCAGACTATCTTGAAAATCTGAAGTAGAGGCCGACTCTGACAGTCGATCATTCTTCTTCTGCTCTAGCAAGAGCCGAGCATCTGAGTATGTTTTCTTTGACCCATCCGCTTTTACATGACGAATGGGCTTTCTCTTCCCCGGTGAGGGAAAGCGGTACTTTGTTAAGTCAATCACAGGCGGCTCCCACTTCCTAGATTTAGGGAGAGGAGTCGCCTCTCGACCCTGTACAGTTTTCCTTCCTCCAGACTGAGAAGGTTTTCTAGCCGACTGCTCCTTGGAGAGAGCAGGCGTCTTCTTATTAATCAACTCTTGGATCTCCCCCTTGAATCCCCTCATGAAATTCATGAGTTCATTCCTTGGTCCAAATTGGTAATTTACCCGTTCTTTCCTTTCGGTGTGACGGGTGCATCGGGCCCTTAGGGTCCTGTCTAAGGCCGTGTGAGCTTCAACCTCGACCTCATTCTCAGTATCTTGGTTTGAGTAGACTTGAAGGTCGTCCACTGGACGCCTCTTTTTTGGATTCAATACAGACGTTGATGCCATCTCGAAAGTACTCTCCCCACAGACGGCGCCAAAATGTTTCGGGGTTTTTTGATGTCCTGCGGGAGAGTTACAATTGCGGGATTGGTATCCTTGCGCTTGTACCAGTAAAACAACGGAGACTCCGGGTGGTGGGAGCTCCGCCTCCGACGATCAAGTTAGTACTTGTTTGAGGAGTAAATGATGCGGAAAGTAAAGATGGGAGATCTGGTTCCTCTAGGGGAGGAGTGATCAGTGTGTTTGGGTTTTCTCTAGGTGAGAGTAATTCTTCTGTTTAATGGAGGCTAATGACCTGTTTATATAGCCTCGAAGTACGTGCCCAATACTAGGTTTTAGGTAAACCTAGGACTGACTGGGCCTTGCCTCGGAAATCGGGCCTTGGTGGCCGTTTTCCAGGTTGGCATGTCATGGGCCACGTGGCGTGGCCTGATTAGTCCATGTTGGACCTCTTGGGTGACAAGCGACAGACGTTGATTGGCCCACATGGTGGACACCTGGCAGGTCCGGATTGGTCCAATTGTCATGGGTAATTTTACCCTAAACAAGAACCAAGACCTATAATAGGAACTAGAAACCCTTATACACTGTTGATTGTGTTTCATCGAACGGTGCAGATTTCACCCACTTCATTAAGGGTATTTTTGTAAATATGCGTTATGAATGACTTCTGCTCTAAATTTTTTGCTACTTCCCTCCTTTCTCTCTCTACCTTCTAATTCTCTAAACGACGATTTTGTTCTTTGATTTCGCCAATCTATTTCTTTGATTTTGCTCATCTATTTTGACGAATTCTTCAATTTTGTTCGTCATGTTGTTGAATTTGGTGTGATTTGCTCAGTTCTGCAGAGGTAATTCTTCTAAATTGGGTTTTTTTTTTTTTTTTTTTTGAGTTAATTCTATTTATTAGGGTTTTTCGCATATTAAATTTGTTTATTTGTTCTTGGATCTTCGTTGTTGGCTAATTATGAGCAAGTGAGTTAATTTGATTTCGATTATCGTTGCTTTCTTCTATTTGATTTGACTTTTAATCAAACTTGAGCGATTTAAATTGTGAAATTTAGGGTTTTTTTTTGCTTTTTTTTTTATTTTTTTTTAGTAATGTGCAGTTTTACTTATTTTTGTTGTGATTTTATTGTGATTTTTTTTAGTTCTGTCACAATTTTCATTCCAGATTGAAGACTTTAATTTCAATTTTATTGTTGGTTCTTTAACTAGCTTTCGATTGAATTTATTGTATATAATTTTAATTTTGTTTTGTGTTTCTCGATTTAGACTTTTCCTATGTGGTGTGTCTGTGACTGTTTATATTATGCTTTTATTTGGGGGTTTGATTTGTTGGCGGTGCATTCTCAATGTGTGTATTAGGGGAGTGAAATTAGAGTTGTGTATGGTGGTGTGTTTGAGAGTCCATTTGTATTACTTCTAAATAAGGTTTAATTTGGGGGAGTTTAAGATGATTCCAGCCTTGTCTTATACTTTATAGAGTTGTTTACTTTAAATAGTTTTCTATTTACTTTTAAGTAACATTGATTTACTACAAATAGTATTTAATGAAATGCCTGACTTAATGGAATGAATGTTATACTAGGTTGCTAGCTCAGGTAGTTAATGGTAGTTACTTTTGAGTTGTTGGTAGTGACTGAGTGTGGTATATACTTGTGTGCATGGAGTTGATGGTAGTAGCTGCGTGGGGAGTTAATGTGTGGGTAAAAGTCGTGAGGGTGTCAAGGGTTTTCTTTGTAGCCTTGGGTGTTGTGTGAATGGTGTGGCTCTATCGCCTCTATGTGGCCAAGGAGCACAGGGAAAAGCGTGTGATGCTGTGTGCCGGTAGCTGTTGTTTGGGTGGGCAAAGTGTAAATTTGTTGAATAATTGTGTGTGTGTGTGTTAAATCATTTTAGAGGTTTTGCTTGAAATTTTCCTAGATATATTTGAATAGGGTGGTTTAGTTACATTGAAATTAGAGTACCTTTCACTGAGTAAATGAGTAAGACTTCCTTCTATTATCAAATTGATATGCTGTGAACATATGGTCTCATAGTAGCTTTTATGATCTGTTGGCTGATGCACCAACTTCCTTTTTTGCTGATCGGTTTTTGTGGGCTGCAAACAGGCTAGACAAAAAAGAACTAAGTCTATTCTGTACTCTGAGTTGGGCATCTTGGTTCTGCAGGAATATGAGAGTGCATCAGCCATCAAGTACCGGTGTCTGACCCCTGCATTGTGGCTGAGTGTAGCTATCTTGCCAAGGATGCTGCAGCTGCTGCCCTGCCAAGGTTGCTGCAGCTGCTGCCCTGCCATGGCTTGCTGCTTCTGCTGCCTGCTGCTGCTATGCTACTTCTGCTCTGCTACCTGCTGCTGCTGTGCTACTTCTGCTCTTCCACCTGCTGCTGTAAATGTTACCTGCGTTTCTGTGAATAAACTATGTAGCCTTGTATAGTCGTATTATATTTTTGGATGAATTTGTAATATTACAGCCAAGTGTTAATATAAATATCTAAGTTTATATATATATATGTTAGTGTTTGTACATCAATTAAAGTGAAAAAAGTTCAAGTCTATATATATTTTTTATTTACTTATAAGATAATTTTATTTACTTTTACGATTTTTTTATTTACTCTTTCTTTACTTCAAATGTTAATATATACTAGCCTACTAGCTCAATTAGTAAAGCATTGTGCAAATGCGCAAAGGATATGGGTTCAAATCCCACGTAGGTTCATTATGTATAATTGTTTAACTAGCTTTCTACCAAAAAATAGGATTATTTACTCTTTGTACTGTTTTATATACTTTTTAAATGAAAACATTTACTTTAACTTAAACTCGTATACTTATTTTTTAGTTAATTACTATTCATTTTTATTTACTTTACTTTTGAGATATTTTGATTTACTTTTGGAAAATTTCGATTTACTTTTTAGTATTTTGTATGTACTTTTGAGACATATTAGAGGATAACTCAAAGTATGATACGAGAGGGAATACAAGTTTCTCTTTCTTACTAACAAATATTGAAATGATGTCAGATTGAAATCATCAACTACTAAGATTATGCGCTATACAAGGCTATAACACAATTTCTAACTAACAAGTATCGAAATCATATCAGATCTTTATCAACATATATGGTGGATGGAGAGCTCATAGTGGCAATGCTTTCTATGGCAAAGACCCAACTAAGGTGGATCCTATGTTGTTAGAGTATCGTAGCTAATAGGCTGGCTAGAAAGGTTATTGTGCATGTATTATATACCATCGGTGTTTCTGACCCGTTGTTTGTATTTGTTAACACCTATGGAACCAGAAATATTCCAGCTGATAAGGTGATCCTTATGATTGTGTTGGAGAACTTTTTTTGTTTGCTTAAGCTAGTTTGATTTACTTTTTAGTTATTTTACATTACTTTTTAGCTATTTTAATTTACTTTTGAGATATTTTGATTTACTTTAGTGTGTTTTATATTTATTTTTAGAGATATCCTATGTAGGAATCGAACCTACACCTCTATGCATCCGCATAGTGCTCTACCACTTGAGCTAATAGGTTTACTTTAAAGTCTTTTTTATTCACTTTAGACTCTTTCTAATTTACTTTAGAGACCACTTAGGATTTAGAAATTGTTCTATACACCCGGGTGTACCGTACATCCATGACTATTTGCTCTCATTTTGATGATTGTTTTTCATTTAATCATCGAATGGAAAGTAAAAATTAACCTTGGGTTGGTTGGGTATACGGTATACCCGGGTGTATATAACAATCTCTCCTTAGGATTATGATCGTTCTATGAAATTTGACAATTGCTAGTGTTTAGGAAACAAGGTTTAGGGAAAAATTATGATTCAAATTAACAATAACAATATTACTCGTACTAAACAACAGTCGTATACTCATGTACATATATTGACACAAATATTAAAGAAGGGATTGTGATGAATTACCTGTATGTCATCCATAAAGAGATTAGGAATAAGCTTGCTAGTGAGGTGGCTGGTCTACCATGCCATATCATTTGATGGATGAAACCTGCATCAGACAAATGAAGAAGTCAACTTTTAATGGTATTACTTTAAAATATAATCTGTTTACATTTAACTTGTAAATTAAAGTTGAGTTTGATGATTGGAAGATAAATATATGTTATAAATGTAGAGCATAATACTTTGCAGGAAGGGATCAAAGTTTACATTTCGTAACATAGTCTTCATCGAATATAACCTCTTCAGCTACCCTGTAAAACATAGGGAAACTTAGAGTCAACACCAACATACTATGTTAGATGTTTATTACTCTTGAATACACTACTAACCTGCCACCAAGAGCAACGACCATCTGATTTTCGAGAATAGGTTCTGATGTAAAGGCCTGATCCAGCCTTTCTTCACTTGGGACAAATGGTGTCATACCACCCGCTTGGCCTCGAGGAATGATTGAAATTTTGGCTACAGGATCATATTTGGGCATAAGAGCATCCACTTAGGCATGGCCAGCCTCTACATTAAAAGGAAATCTTTGTAACAGTTACAACCTAAAGAATTAGCATTATAATTAAGGCAAGAAGTTAACAAGAAATGATCATTTGAACCCACTGTGATAAGCTACTAATGTGAAGATGTATCGACATTCTTACATTATAATGCTGATTAAAAACAATAAGTCATTATAGTACACCCCAATTGCTCAAGGACACGTTATGTCAGGCTTCATAACAATGATCATTCTAGCCAATTAGGAGTGATTTAGTCTACTTTTAAAGTAGCTTGCAAGAACTCTTTTCTCTGAATTTTGATAATGAAATTGTAGAAACCATACTTAGGGTAGTCCCTCGTAAAATAAGTCCAAATGCTCTCAAAATATGATACTCTAGTTGGCAATTGCTAACCTGCCAACGCATATTTTATCTACGTTGGGAGCAATGATATCCAGTTTACTTTCTAAGAGGAATTTAGTGGCAGAAAGCTGCTTCAAATGTTTTTTTCTCTGCCAACTTAACCAGTGTGACATAAAGGTACCAGTATACCATGCAATACTCATCTGAGGAGTAAAGCTCCAATTTAAAGCCCAGAGAAAGAAAACGCAAAGCAATCCAATATGTTTGCTCTTCAACCCATATAAGTATGTGCCTAGCCAGTTTCATGCATACATTCTGCAAACCAACTAAAAGGATATCAATCTCTACAAGGACAAATCAACCAGAAACACCAACTAATTTGTTTTTTTTTTTTTTTTTTGTTTTGTTCCAAATATGCTGAGAAACACTCAGAAGATTCAGAACTATATAGACAAAGACTTAAGAACACAGGTGGCAAACAACTCACATATCTTGGAACAAAATCTGCGGCCAATTTTCGATTAGGCCATCACCACATTTTTAGAACTTATAAGTTGTAATCATCTAACTACATCCCATTTACTTTATGTATAATTACAATTACTTTTAACTCATGCTAACAATAGCTGAATTCATTTTACTTTTGAGTTTAATTAATTTACTTTTGAAAATAAAATTAGATTAGTCCTAAAATTAGAAAACTAAATCAATAAACCTGAAATCATCGAACTCGACAACCTAATCTGAACATATTAGAAATAAAAACCAGTACAGGTTAGTAAGTTTTGCTCATCTAAAAAAAATCGTACAAATATAGTATCAGAACGACTTAATTGAGGCTGATCATCCACAAAACGGTTGAAAATTCGCCTCGAACTATAAAATTCATCAAAAAGTCGCTAAAATAAAAAAAAAAATCAAGAAAAATTTAAACGAGATACCTGTTTTAGACATCGATTCTGCATTTAATGGAGGTTTTCCAGTTTGTGGAGTGAAATAATGCTTGAGGAAAGAGATTAATGGCGGTGATCCAGTTTGCAGATGAGAGAGAGCGCTTGAGGAGAGAGAAAGCTTGAAGAGAGGGAAAATGGCGAAGGAGAGAGAAATTGCTTGAGCGCGGTTCCGTTTAGATCATGGGCATTCATTGAGGCGCGTTTCTTGTTAGATCTGACGATCCTCATGAGTTCTTAGTTTCTGTTATTCGGGTTGTTTTCGTTATAACCTGGTTATATATATATATAATGGGATCATATGACACCTCATTCCTTATGTGAGAACATGGCATATATGAGGACATATTACAATCGTTGGATTAATTATATCTAATAGCTACCATTTATCCGGTCAAACATAATTTAAAAAAAAAAAAAAATAGCATTTTCTCTTTCCTCCTTCATTTTGCAAGTTATTTTCTCTCTCCTACTTCAATTTCTCAGTTCTCAGTTCTCTCTGCTCTCTTTTTCTCTGTTATTTGCTATGATTCTTCTTCAAACTTCATCAATTCTTCGTCAAGGTGAGTTTCGCTTATATTTTACTTTGTGTTTTTCGTTGGTTTTAGTTTGATTTTCGTTTTTTCAGTAGTATTTTAAGTTGATTTTAGTTTTATTTTTGCTTTACTTTTGTTATCTTTGAATTTCGGCTTGAATCTTCACCTATTACTAGGTATTCATTGTTTTCTATTAATTTGTGCTATTAGGTTGATTTTAGTTTGATTTTAGGATTATTTGAATAATTATTAAAGTTGATTTTAGTTTTATTTGAGTAATTATTTTTTATTTGTGTTTTTACCTTGATTTTTGTTTGATTTTTCGGCTTAATTTCTTCAATTGTGTTTAATTTTTTTGCTTAATTGTATTTAGTTTGTGTTCTTGTTCTTTAAATTGTTTGGATTTTGAGGATTATTCTAATTGTTACTTGCGGGAACTCCAACTTCTCAATTTAAGCAATTTCTGAGTTCCTCTTCTAATCCATTAAAACAATTCATGAGGTAAGATAATCTCTCGACCTTTCATTTTTAGTTTTTTTTCCCCCTTTTCTACTACTACATATCGCTATGTTGCTACGGCTCTGCTACTTCCCTGTTGTTTCATCCCTTCCTGTCTTTTGTGGTGTTGTGCGGTTATGTGATTGTATGCTAGTTGTACTTGGTTTAAATTATAGAGATGATGATTTTTATAAAGTTAATAGAATTATTAGTCAAGCAAATATTGTTTCTAGTTATATTGAATTCTGAGTTTTAGTGCGATTAAAATTATGGATGACTACTGATATATGTGTAATTGAGATTCCGAATGGCATAAATAGTTGATTTTTTTACAGCTTTAGAGAATTTAGTTATAAAACTATATCTGAATTTGATTATTGAAGGTTCCCAACAATCCACAAGTGGAAACGACTTGTGGATCTCTATTATATGAACTTCAAGGTATAATTTGTGAACATTTTGATGCAGTGTTGACAGTTGTATCGTTGTGATTTAATATATATGCAATTGAAGTTGTTTGTTATTTTATTGTGTTTAGATTATATGGGATGAGGTTGGTGAATCTGAAACCGCTCGTGATAAGATGTTACTTGAGCTGGAGCAAGAGTGCCTTGAGGTATACAAGAGAAAAGTTGATCAGGCTAATCGCTGCAGAGCTCCGCTATTGCAGGCTATTGGTGATTCTTAGGCGGAGCTAGCCGCCATTTGTTTTGCAATGGGTGAGAGGCCAGTCCATATTCGACAGGTAGCAAATTCTAGTACTTGATCATACATGTATACATTGTATTGATACCCTTTTTCATTTTTTTGTATACTTTAATTAGTCACCATTGTTTCCTCTATGCCTTTATTTAGCTCCATAGATCAGTTTCAGTCTTCAGAAATATGCCCATGGACTGATGCACGAAAATTTTATTCGATTAGGCAAGTTTTAAATGCTTCAACAATTAAGATATTTCCACTTTCAAGATCTAATTGTTGATCACATGAAGAATCTGTGTTAAACTTGATCAACAATTTGCTATCAGACTAAAAATTTTCACTGAAAATGAATAATCAAAATGAGTATTTAGGACTTGGGCATAGAAACCTCTGCACTATGATTTTTTACCTGTCTGGTAACGAGGAATGACCCAATTGAGCTAACTTTTCAGACTGAACAAAAAGCTGGAAGCCTAAAGGAAGAGCTAGATGCTATTTTTCCACAGCTAGAAGAGATGCGAAAAAGCAAAGTCGAAAGGAAAAATCAATTTGTTGATGTCATTGGACAGATCCAAAAGGTGTCCAGTGAAATATATGGATTGTTCGGATATGATAGTTACACTGTTGTTATAGATGAAAATGACCTATCTTTGAGAAGACTTGAAGAATTGCAAAACAAGATGCAGTCCCTGGAAAAGGAGAAGGTGAATTATTCAATTCATTGTCCATCCTTTTAATAGGTTCAAAACTTTAGTTAGTGTTTATTTGTATTAATTCTGCCTCGCTCTTTCAACTTGCAGAGTGATCGCCTGAGGCTTGTCACGGAGCACTTGAATGATTTGAGTTCATTGTGTTATGTCCTTGGGTTGGGAAGGGAACTGTCAGAGAATGAACTTCATCCAAGTTTAGCTGATTCTGAAGAATCACATAGCATAAGTAATGAAACACTTAAGCAGCTGGAGTCTGCTATATTTGAATATAAGTTCTTCTTTCTCAGCTTACATCTATTAAGTATTTTTTAGATTGTGAATGGGAAAAACTGGAGACCCTTTATAATGAGTACAATGATTATTTATGACCTTTCAATAAGTTGCTGACAATCATGCTTTGCAAAATCATCATTTGAATAAACTTCGCTACCATTGTAGTAGCTTGTTTTTCCGACTCATAAATGTTCAATAAGGATGCAAGTGAACTCATGCTCTATTAAACAGGGCTGATTTAAATCTTGGTTTTTGTTATTTATTTTTTAGGGAAATATATCATTGGCGCTTGATTTTCGAAAAGAGCTATCCAAGTTGCCAGACATGGAGAGGTTGCTCACGCGCCTCTTTGCTAGCAGGTACAACAATCCAGGGATCTGTAAAATTCATTCAATTGCTTGTTCCAGAAGTTCACCCTTTTGTCCACTTGTTTCATGCAGTGAAGCTAATGGACGGAATGCAAGAAAGATTGTTCTTTATGAAGATGCTGCAAAAAAACATCTTCAAGAATTCATATATATATCTGCATTACGTGCTTGTGAAGTAATGATTGTGGCATGCTCTTCTCTTGGTTCCATCCTGGATAATACTGACTCGAAATTGTTACACCATCTTTTAGTTCCTGGTACTGTCTTAACTGTCATGTTGACGCTCCTGTATTTTGATCATTTTATATGTCGTGCTAATATTCATAGCATGTAATTTGCAGGCAAAGGTCTCCCCAATATGAGTTCCATTATAAAGCAATTTAGGGATGTGTTCGATTAGGTGGATGCTAATAGTACAGGCCGTATAATTCCTCTTGAACGAGCTAATGTCGAATATGATTCTACTAGTAAAAAGATTGAGGAGATTGAATCTGATTTGAAGAAACATATTGTGGAACAAAAAAAGTTACTTGGCATCACATCGGTAATGGCCACTATTAATTTAAAATATAAACTTTCTCATCGTATCTTATGTGCTTCATTAATTTGTCTCCTTGTGCTGTCTGTAGATTACATATGTTACCATTGGAAAGGACATATATCTGTTACAAATGAGCAACTAACTATTTGCTCATTTGATTGCTCATTTCCCAAATGATCAAAGAAATGTTTGCTTATTTTACAAATGAGTAACTAATTATTAGCTCATTTGACATATGAGCAAACTAATGTTTGCTCATTTCACAAATGAGCAAAGAAATGTTTGATCATTTCACAAATGAGCAAAGAAATGCTTGTTGATTTAATGAATGATTAAAGAAATGTTTGCTTATTTGACAAATGAGCAACTAAGATTTTGCTCATTTGTTAAATTAACAAATAAGTATTTGCTTATTTGACAAATGAGCAACTAACTATTTGCTCATTTGCTAAATGAGCAAAAAATTGATTGCCCATTTCCCAAATTAAATGATCAAAGAAATGTTTGCTTATTTTACAAATGAGTAACTAATTATTTGCTTATTTCCTTCAAAAAAAATAAATTTATTTGCCTATTTGACAAATGAGCAAACAAATGGTTGCTCATTTCACAAATGAGCAAAGAAATTAATTGCTTATTTGACAAATGAGCAACTAAGTTTTCGCTGATTTGTTAAATTAGCAACTAAGTATTTGCTCATTTGACAAATGAACAACTAACTATTTGCTCATTTGCTAAAAGTTGATCTTTCTTCATTGATATTTACAAAAAATTACAGGTTATAAAATTGCAAAACAATTCTTTTCTCATTTATCAAATTAGCAAACTATTTAATGCTCATTTGTTAAATGAGCAGATAATTTTGGCTCATTTTGTCAAAAATTAATATCTATTCTTTACTAATTTGTCAAAAATGAGTAAATAATTTGTCAAAATGAGCAATTAATTTTTTGCTCATTTGTCAAATGAGCAATTATTTTTTGCTCATTTGTCAAATGAGCAATTAATTTTTGCTCATTTGTCAAATGAGCAAAAAAATTCACTGCTCCTTTGTCAAATGAGCAAACTATTTAATGCTCATTTGTCAAATGAGCAAATGATTCTTGCTCATTTTGTCAAATTAATGCTCATTTGTGAGTGTGGTTGAATGTTTTAAATACGTTAGCCTACTAGCTCAAGGGTAGAGCATTGTGCAAATGCACAAAAGATTTGGATTCGAATCCCACGTAAGTTCATTTATATAATGTGGAAACACAAGTTTGTATGAGAGTTTAATTGTAACAAAGTTTATATAGTTATAAATCATTTCAAACCATTTTTTTGCTCATATAATTTAGTACGAATTTGATTTTTTTTTTTAATTAATTTTGTTTATAGAGATAACCTATGTAGGAATTGAACCTACATCCCCTATGCATTTGCATAGTGCTCTACCATTTGAGCTAATTAGTTTATCATATGTTTTAAATCATTTTCTATGTTATAAATTTTTAATCAGCTCATTTGATAAATCAACAAAGAATTGTTTGCTCATTTGATAAAATGAACAAAGAATTGTTGCTCATTTGATAAAATGAACAAAGAATTGTTGCTCATTTGATAAATGAGCAAAGATTTGTTTGCTCGTCTGATAAATGAGCAAAGATTTGTTTGCTCCACCTCTAACAATAACGATCTCCAAACAGGAAATATATGAGAAAAAGGAAGTATTGCTCCTTTTTTCTTTCTTTATCTTATTACCTAACAATAATCTTTTGAATGGAGATTGATAGAGTTTGCTATTCTGGCAGATAAAAGAGGAGAGCACAATGAACAATTCTACCAACAAAAGCATTTTATATAATCTTTTCTTTTATATACCACATTATATACCCTTTAAAAGTCAATTTCTTTCAGCTACATTCTTTGTTTCTCACTTCGATTAGCTGAAAAAAGCCAGCATTTCGTTTATGGTTATTTTTTCTTCTCAATCTCAATTTTGGCATACACCTTCACCATCTTACCCCTCTTATAATGGGATCGGACCGACAGCCCACCACTGGAACTTGAAACTTTTCTTCTCAAGGATGTTTTCATCCAAAACTGTAGCAGGCACAAAAAACGCCAACAAACCACCTTTACTTTCCTACCCCAACCACCAAACCATTTAAATTCTCAACTAATAATATTTCAACTTTAAATGCTAAAATACCATTTCAGTTTGCAGTCACTTGAGAAAGACATACTTCTCACTGTGAGTATAAACATGAAATACCCTTGAAACAAATATCATTGTATGTTCTAGATGGATTTGCAGTCTTCAGTTTACCCCCACATTTCCAGTTTCCCACTATGCATGTACACATTCAAACAATAAAAATCATTCGTATAGATAATCATATCCAATTAAAAGCATATTTCATTTGAGTATTCCTAGATTACAACTGTTGTAATGAAGAAGAAGAATCTCAAACAAGAACATCTCAATAATGGCAGACCACTAAATCAGAAATTGTTCAGAAAATTTGTAATCAACACTATTTGGAAGAATCAATCTAACCAGAGAAGTTATTGAATTCTATCAGAACAGCAATGGTAGGAAACACAATCAAAACACCAATAATACTTGCAATTCTAAGTCTGAAATTCTGAATCTCTGTTTAACATGAAGTATGAAGCAATATCAGTACATATATGTAGACTAAATATATAATCACCAACCAGATTATAATATTCTCGCTTACCAATATCCGCAAGCATATACTGTATGTATGTACACTTACATCTTCCAAGAACAAAGCAACAAGGTGTCTAATTCTCGAAAATTTGCTAACTTGCAAACTCGATACCAGGTATTGTCAGTGACTTTCTGCAGAATGTACAAAGAATACTTTTTAGCACAAAGAATATCATGAATTGAAATTTAATCAAGGAGTCCAGCATATTGCACTAGTAACATCAGCCAAAATCTATGCTGACAGAACTTATCTACTAGTATTTGAGAGACACTGCTTTCTTGTAGAAGAGAACAACCTACCATTCTCCTTGTCATAAATCACCATACCATAATAAGGCAAAGAGAGCCTCAACAAATCAAAGAAGAACAAGAAGAATTTCTAAGATACAGATTGAGTATTCCTATCAAATTATATTTCTAAGATATTTGAGAAATCAAATAATTCACCATTCAAATATATAGGTAAATGAGTGTGGAATTCACCACTTATAATGAAAGATCAATATTTGACACTAAATCATCAGTACCAATTTGACATAGATCTTCATGCGAGGCAAATTGGTAAATCACGAAAAAAACGAATTGATGAATTGAACAAAAAAAAAATCGAACTACTTAAATCGAACGAAGAAATCTGCAAAAAATAACTAAAAAACGCATAGAAATCGCAAAAATCAGGAAAAAATCAATAAAATAAAATCGATGAAATTGGCATATAAAATCGCACAAAAATTGAACAAAAAAATCAGATTATGAAATCGCACAAGAAGTCGAAAAAAAATCGAACAAAAATTAAATAGGAAACACACAGGAAATCGAACAAAAATCAAATTTTCTTTTGATGAAATTGAAGCTAAAAATCGATATGATAATCCAAAGTAGAACTAATAATCGAAAATTTTGATCATAAACGCTATTTTATTCGTAGAATTTAAAAATAATATCAATAATTATTCGAAAATAAGATCACTCAATTTGAAAATTTTAACGAAAATCTGAAAATAAAGAGCATGAAATTTGAAAATTACTAGCTAAAATTAAGAACATCACTTACTTGTTTATTGTTCAATGAAGCTTGTTGATTCTTGTTGTTGATGAAATCTGACATAAATTGAACGGAAATTTGAAGTTATTCGTACTTGTGAAGAAGAAGATGAAATCAAAATAGTCAAGCCTTCAAATTGATTAATCAATCGCCATTGATAATTATGGAGCTTCGTTATGCAGAGAAAATAAATGAGAAAGTTGAAGCAGTTAAGCGTGCAATGGTTTTGTTAGGCAGTTTTGTATATTACATCTCGGCCGTTGAATTTCATATAATCTAATGGCTGGTATTGGTTCTCACATAGATGAAGGTTCTCACATAAAGGGTGGTTCTCACCGGATCCAGACCATATATATATATATATATACCCCGGGCGATGCCCCAGGTTTCCTATCTAATATTTGACGTTAATAATCTAATATCTAACATGAGAAATCTAATATCTGACATTAATACTTTAATATTTGACATTAATAATCTAATATTTGACATTATTATTAGATTATTAATGTTAGATATATATATTGAACTCGCCATGAGTCCAACTCACCCAATTTTTTCTGTTTAAAAGATCCTTACATTAATTGGCTACTTATAAAATAATTATAAAGTAATAATTATTTTCTCAAATGCATTATCACTAATATCTAAATCTATCCACGTTTGAAACATTTGTTGCTTAAATGTTCATAATTGGATAAGTAATTTAATTTTACGGTTTCATTGACATTTAACAATTTGAACTCCTAGACATTATTAAAATCCCTTAGTTAGAAAGTAAGTCTTCGGCTCCTAGACTTTTACGGCTTTTTTTATTTTTTTTTTATTTTTTTTTTGAAAGACGATTACCTATTTAGCTAGAACTTTAATTCTGGTGGCAATACCCGGTTTATTTATTGAATTTTAAAATAAATTATTTATCTATATGCCAAATTTTAAAACAAATCATTGATACAAACATTGTTAGGTAAGGGGTGTATATCCTTTTTGATTTAGGATAGTTTAACGTAGGATACCATTGATTTTTGTAATAGCATAATATATATTATAGAAATATACACTATATAAAATATTTATGTTGTTCGAATTTTCTGCTCATGGATTTATAATCACTTGACTATCATACTTGTAAAATAAAAAAAATATAGTTTTACCGCTTTTAAAATAAGCCTCAATCTGTTTTATGTAGTTTCCTCGTATGGATGTATTCTTATATTAGTTGAATTAAAATAAATAAAATTATGTATGATCATTTCCAAGGTTAATACTTTGTAACTCAATAGGAAGTGCCTACTTTTTGTATATATATATATATATATATATATATATATATATATATTTTTCATATAGAGGATGATACGAAATTCTCTCTTTAATTAATTCTACTTGATTAATCCGATCAAATGTCCTAAAAAAAAGCAATTGTCTTGCAAAAAAAAGAAAAATCCTAAAAGTGTAGAAGCCAAAAACTTACTTTTGAAGTGAGGGTTTGAATAAGGTTTAGGAGTACTCAAACTGTTAAATCCTTACCTTATAAAAAGTATAAGATAATTCTTAGGAATAGTGTGCTACCAATTATACCCTTAAAGATGTATACAAAAAGAGTACAAAAATGTGTATTTATATTTTTACCCTCATTAATATATTTAACCTCATTAATGTATTTAATGTATTTTTTCATTAAACATATCATCAAGTAATTCAAAAGCTTTTTTTTTTTTTTTTTTTTTTTTTTTTTTTTTTTTTAACAAAAAACTTGTAATGGTTTTATTTATTTATTTATTTTATTAATTCATCTTAGACTTCATATGATACTATTATTATTATAAAAAAAGGAAAAAAAATTGTATGTACGAAGAGACTGTTTTTATTATCAAGAGACTGTTTATTCCTTTGTGGTTGTTCATCTTATTTACAATCTTGTCCTCCTTTAACTGTAACTATTGTTCAGGTTTATTAGATTTTAAATTGTACATTATTTGATGGCACATAAACAACGTTATGGAATTGTGAATGGGATTCATATTAAATAGTGATATTTAAGCAGATGTTATCAAGAAGTATAAAGAACTTATAAATCCTAAAATCAAGGAAAATTGACTATAGAAAAAAAAAATAAGCTTGTATTAATTATCGAATAGAAAATGAAGGAATTTAAAGGGAAAAATATAACTAAGTGGTTATTGCTTTAGTATTAGATATAGATGTTAGAGAATCGTAGAATTTTAAAGAAATTACATTATTAAGTTTTTAGTTGCAACATTTCACATATTATTACTCCGTATGACCTAACCTCGCAAAACATTTACCTGATGAAAACCACGCTAGAAATATTATACTAAGTATTATTGAAACATGAAAATCAATTAAGAAAACTAACATCATAATTTTGGAATAATACTATTAAACTTTCGAGGGTTTTAAAGAATAATCTTCATAAAACACTACTACATTTTTAATCAAATGCAACGGCTAAAAAAGAGCCAGTGCATCGGCTCATTATATTGTCGTTGCATTAGATAAGCCTAATACAACGGCATAAACTTTGTACATCAAAAGGTGGAGCTAACGCAACGGCTTTAAAAAGCCGTTGCATTAGGTGTACGAATACGACGACCTGTAAGGCTATTGCCACGACAGTGATATTAAATACTCCATATGAATATGCGCTTCAAGTTCACTCGACCTCACCACCTCAGTTCTCTTTCCTCTCTCTTTCTCTCCTTCTCCTTCTTCTCTTCCTCAAAGACGAAGGCAACCATCGCCGCAGCCGCAACCACATCCACAACCACCGTCGCTCACAAATTAAATTCTCTCTCTTTCTTCTCCCTCCACATTCACTGATGGTCACGGTGGTGATGGTGGTCGCGAGTAATAATGACGGTGCGGTTCAATTTTTAGGGTTTTGATTGGTGTTCATAGTATGAGTTACTTTAAACTTTCCTCTTTATATTTCAAATTTAGGGTTTCTTTGCAAAATTATTAGTTCAAATTTTTGATTTTTTTTTTCGATTTTTAGGGTTTCGATTTGTAACTGTTGGCGGTGGTGGAGAGCAGCGATGGTGAGTTTTGATTTGTAATTGATGGCGGTGGTGGAGAGTTGCTGAACTAAAGTCGCTCAAACTCCAGCTTCGTGCCCTGATCTTTGAGTAAGCCTTCTCTCTTTATCTCTCCTTTTTCTTCTTTCTCGCTCCTCTCTAATTTTTGGGGATTATTTGCTATAAATTATGTAATTGCGTTATCGTTTGATTTTGCCCTTTGAATGATTTTAGAATTGCTTGTTGATAGAATTCTTACTTCATTGATTGCAATTTTAGTACTTTGTGGAGAGGTTTTATGTCGAATTTCTTGTTCTCGCGATTGAACTTTAATGCCCTGGAATATGAAATGTGCAGTTGTGAATTGTTATCTGTGTGTAATCTGAATTCTTCTTGGTGATGAATAAAACTTTAGTTAAAGTATCTATATGTTTAAGCTTGTAGTCGCTTTAAGAGCTGCACATTTTTAGGTAAGGAATCCAGTTATTACTATCACGACATGAATTAAGGCATGTGTCAGTCCCATAAAGTCATAGATTGCCTTGCCTTTTCCATTTATAGACTTATAGGAATCCAAGATCAATGTTGCTCATTCTTTGATCAAGAATATTTACGAGAGAAAAGGGAAAACATTGCTACTAATGTGGGTAATACATAGTTGGTGCTGCATGTGATGGTGTTGGTGTGCTAGTTCTGTCTGCTTCTAAGCTGCTCTCTGCTACTGTTTTGCTTGCTGGTGGTGGTTCTGGTGCTGATGCTCTGGTCTTTGCTGCTGCCCTTACTCCCTTTGTTGAAGCTTGTGTTTATGGGTTGTTGTTGCTGCCTGTATCCTGTTGTACAGGTGCCGGTGTGATGCTGGTTTTTGTTGGCTGTTGCTGGTTTCTGTTGGGTAATGCGGGTACTATGGTGGTGTTGCTGGGCTCTCCTGTTGCCTTGAGTCTGTTTCCGTTGGGAGCTGCTACCACCTGCTTTGTGTTGCTTTTGGGGTGGCTCTTGCTGCTGGGCTGCTACTGCTCTTACTGCTGCCTCTGCCTGTTCTTCTTGCTGTTGCTACTGCTCTAGCTGCTGCCTATGCCTGCTCTTCTTGCTGCTGGTGCTCTTCTGTCAGTTAGTGCTGTCAACTTTGTTGGGTTTTTTTTCATATTTTATTTTGTTGTTTTGTATTGGCATGTTGGTGTATCTTTGGTTGTTTTGGTTTTGCTTGTTTTTGTTGGTGTTTAGAGTGGTTGTTTTTGTACCGTCCCTCAGGATGGGGGTGCCCCTCCTAGAGGGTAGCTCCCTTCCTTTGAGGTCGGGGAGCCTTTGTCTGGTTTAAGCTCTAAAAGAACCCTTCCTAGAAGGTGGCTTTTGGAGTTTGGATCTTAGGCTGGTGGGTGTGCAAATAATAAAGTTGTTCGATTGTTTTTAATTAAATATTGAATAATATCTCACTCTTGTCTAAGTCATTTGAGAGAGGGAGTGAGAGATTAAGAGAGAATAAAAAAACCTACAAGTATATGATTATGTTTAGCCTCCTTAAAGACGGATTATTGTTATTCTAATGATGCTTATTATAAGTATATAATATGGTTATTGAACAGCATGCAGATACACAAATAAACTTTCGGAACTTCGAGTTTATTTTTTACTTCTTTTTTTCTGCTTGAATTATATATGAGAAAAGAGGAATGATGGATGTTTATCTTCTTTTTTTATTCTGAATTCTTGAAATTGGATTGTGTTTTTATAAGGTTTTTGGGTTTTATTTGATATATGCAGGTTGTAGGGAATTGACTACGCTGATATTTGACTTTGTTTTTTTTACTGGTATAACTTGCAATTATTATTCATGAGCTAATTAGTTTTCGACGATAAGAACGAACTGACTTATATTTAGGATGATGTAGATGTAAACAATTGCTTGAGCACAACAACGATTTCTATGATAGGAGTTGGACTCGATTAAGGAAACTTTGAACACTGAGTTGCAAAGAGCTCCAACAGCATTCAACATCATCAAGTACTAGTAAAATAGGTGGATACTGAAGTTGAAGAAGGTGCTTCCCGAATTGCTTTACTTAAGAAATTGGAGAAGTGGGAGAAAGAAATGATATTGCGGCCCAAACAATTGCTGAAAATATGGTTTGGGGGACAAAATGATTTAGTTTTAATATTTTAATTGTTTTTTTTCTTAATTTAACTAATGATAATGTAATTTTGTAATTTTTCTTATAGATAACAATGTACAAACTTTTAATTTATATTAATAAATTCTGATTTTTTTGTAAAAAAATTTGATTATAATTGTATTGTTTATTATTATTATTATTATTATTATTATTATTATTATTATTTTATTATTATTATTATTATTATTATTATTATTATTATTATTATTATTTATTATTATTATTATTATTATTATTATTATTATTATTATTATTATATTATTATTATTATTATTATTATTATTATTATTATTATTATTATTATTATTATTATTATTATTATTATTATTATTATTATTATTATTGGCATTAGGGTATAGGGAACCGTGGCATTAGGTATAGGAAACCGTGGCATTAGGTATTATAGCTAATGCCATGGCAATAATGTTGTCGTTGCATTAGGTGTTGATCTAATGCAATGTATCATTGATGCCGTGGCATTAGGTGTCATATGCCGTTGCATTAGACCTACTGCAACGCCATCAGATGCCACGGTACATGGCCGTTGCATTAGGCCTAATGCCACGGATTTTGATGCCTAATGCAACGGATTTGAGGGTTGCAATAGGTCAAAAATGTAGTAGTGAAAGATTTGGTGGCTTTCAATCCCTTTTACAAAGCCACCACATAGCCACATAAACCAAATAGTACATATTAAAATTATTACCTAAACCAAAAGTGTAAACACACGCCAATACAACTTCTCCGCAAGAGCTAGCCTCTCCTCGCGCATAGGCCACCCTAGTGTCATTACAATTGTAAGATTAAATTACTCATATGATTATGAACCTTTAAAGCAACAAATGTTTCAAACATGGATAATTTTAGACATTAGTGATAATGCCTTTTGAGAAAATGTTTATTACTTTATAATTATTTTATAAGTAGCTAATTAATATAAGGACTTTTAAAACATGAGGATATATATTATGGAGGGAACCCGGGAATTGCCCGGGGTATGTACTAGCTATATATATTAGTAGTTTTGATATCGTATTATATCATAGTATTGCTGTTTATGCTTCGACACAAAAATATTTAAACTCATTTTATCTAAATTATTAGTCGTGGTACCAAGCTAACCACCTACCCTTTCAGATTTCAAATAAATATATCTATTATAATATAATATTTATCTTTTACATCTTTATTCCATTGCGTATATGTGTGACAAAATCATTAAAAATAGTTAAAATAAATACACAGTTAAATTATCACACATTTGCACGCATTGCTTGCATATAGGATTATCTCTATAAGATAATCCAAAGGGAGAGGTTGGAGTGCCCCATGTAAAAGCCTTAAATGTACTTATTAGGAAAATAAGTCACGTAAAGAAAAAGTCAATCAATTAGCACAAAATAAGGAATGATCAATTAATTGACAAATACTTTGTAAAAGAATCACTTTTACAAGAAATATGGCAATTGATTACTTAATTACATCTATAAATAAGTAAATCAAGCTTTAATTAATTCCTTCTTAGTATAATCAATCAACTAATCATGCATTATATATATATATAATATATATATATATATATATATATAATAAAATACTAAAATAAACACTAGGAATAACACAGGCCACTTCTCGGTGTTGTTATTTTCCTCCAACACCCCTTCTAAATCCCTCCCCTCCCCCCCCCATCCCTTTTAAGGCAATGCCATCAACTATATTTATGCACACAAATGTTATAATTGTAGTAATAATTTGATTCACATATAGGTTAAATTTCAATAAGGTCTAACCATGTAACACCCCAAGTGAACATAAGCTCACTAGCACATACTATCCTATCTAGGTTATAACCTGTTAGGATTTGCATTGGTGCATGACAAAAATCCTACTCAGTAGGCATCTACTATATTGATAATATAAGTTTGTAACACTGCAGATGAATATAAGCCACTAGTACTTATTGTCCTCTCCAAATCCTAACCCACAAGGATTTGTTTTAATGCAGGATTGAACGACAAATAAAATTCTATCCAAATGGTATATACTGGTTTGAGGTATTAATCCCCTACATAAGGAATATTTCATTCTCCTAAATTTCCGAAGTGGGAGAACCATACAATAGTTGAGGATAACAAAACCTTCCTTATTAGGAATTTAATACCTTAACCTAGTGGATATGGCTATGGCACACCCATGATCCGGATAAGTGCAATAGAAGAGATGTGAAGTAATTTGGGTAAGTTGGTTTTGTGCATACATCATAGTCTCTATATAATGACAAATTTCACATGACTATATATATAATAGGCTATTATTAATTTGTGGTTAAATTTCATAAAAATCCACTCTCAAAAGTGCAATGGGGCAAATAAATAGGGATAGAGAGTATAAATTTTGTTCTTATTTTATATTGTAGTCATCTAAAGTTTATAAATTTAGATCATCATAATTGTATGGACTAGATGATAATTATCTCATTATAGCATTTCGCAATTTTGCTACTTGTCAAATTATTTGGTTTATTTTCATTACTTTTAATGCAATCTTCTTCACTTTTTGACCAATAAATTTAATCCGTTTCTCTCCCTCTTCTCTCTTTTCTTTCTTCTCTCTCCTCTCTCTCTACGGTTTTAATTTTTTTGGCCGTTAGGCAGGATATAGTCTAATTTCTTCAGAAATAAGCTATTTTCGACCCTTTTTCTTTGATTTAATTCGCTTATTTGTTATTTGATTTGTTTTGCTTTGTTTTATTCTCTCTATTTGTGAGAGTTTGTCCCAATTTTATTTGGTTTTTTCTCAATTTTCTGGGATTTTGATTCTCATATGGATGAAAATGTTATTTTTAGGCACTAGTAGAAAAAGGTAAATGGCAAGCGGTTCAAACCCCCTAATGGGAAGCGATTTTGAACCGCTTCGGTTTGGGGGGCTTCCCATTGGCCATTTAAATGGGAAGCGGTTCAAATCGATTCCCATTTGTAGGGAATGGCAACTGGTTTTGGCGCCAAACCGCTTCCCATTTGCATTTCACACATGATATGTAAAGTTTAATGGGGAGCGGTTTTGGTGCCAAACCGCTTCCCATTTAGGATTTTTTTTTTTACAAAATTATTAATAATATAATAATAATATTAGTGACCTGTCATAATAATATTATTAGTGGCCTGTCACAATAATATTAATATTATTAATTAATAATAATATTAATATTTCAAACAATAAGACATTGATATATAACATGAAATAATTATATATATCAAAAGTAACATCATTAATATATTTAATTAACAATAATATGTAATTACACCAAAATATATTAAGATAACATTTAAAAATACTATGTACTAATTATAATTAATGTTAATATATAAAAAACATATATAACTGATTAAAATAATGTTCATAATAACTAATAAACTCATGCTCACTAATTAATTGGGTGTGTGTGCACCCACTCCGACAATTCTAGATGCCATCAAATGTCACGAAAAAAGCCCACATATCGCGAATTTCATTAATTTCGTTGCTTCTTAACAGGCCTTCCCTTTGAATCTTGCAAACCTTTGGAGAAAAAAAACCCAAACATTATCATGCGTATCACAAAAAATGTATGTCAAATATTTCAAAATTAGTCACCAAAATTCGCAAACACTTAGGCATCAAAATTCACAAACAATTAGGCACCAAATTCACCAAAATTCACCACATTTACCCAAATTCACCAAATTCATCAAAATCCACCAAAATTCATCACCTTGGTTGTGTGTTACAGATCTGTACACATATCATATAAGATGGCTATGTCACAGAAGGCTGCAAATCAATCCAAAATGCAATGTTAGGTAGATTTAGACACATTGTAACCTTCATGGGTCTGATTTTATAAAAAATCAACTCCAAATTGCAATGCTAACCACAGCTGTTGAAACACATTTGCTAATGTTGCTACAGAACACCTCAAACAGAACAAAGAGGTTCGATCACATTAATTTGGCGGAAAATGTTATAAAAAGATTAGAGTATTGAAGATATGTTGCTGGACATGAAACTTTCACTCAAGACATGTAATACTCCATATTTTTATGTATTTTATAAATTATTTAATTAATTATAAAATATATTTTTAAAGTACTCAAGTATTTTTAATTAAATATTTAAATGGCTAAAGTATTTGAATTATTGAGTTTTATAAAAGTATAATTTATTTTGGGCTAAACGTTTATTAATCGTTTGAGCTCATTTAAATAATAGTATTAAACAACTCTTACATACTCCTAGTGGACCAAGCCATTTTATTTAACTAAGCTCAATTCTTTTATTTGAACCCTTGTGGGTCAAATATTTCATGACTAAAGTCCATTTATTTATTAAGCCCAAATACAATCACTACCCTTTACTCTATAAATATTCCTCTAAACCCCAAAAATTTCCCACACAAGAGATCAAAAATCAGATTTTGGGGGTAAGTAACTTTTCTTTTCTTTTCCCTTATTTTCTTTTTCTTTTCTTTCTTTTTCTTTTTCCTTATTCTTTCCCCTTGTTTTTCTTTTGGTTCATGCGTGAACAACATCACGCAACCAAGAAGGCTGCTTGCTTTGCTTCCTCCTCGCTGCCACGTCATCACGTTGGCGCCCAGCCGGAGCTCCGACGACCCACGTCGGCAACCACCCCCACCGTGAGCCACCCATCTCACTCCTCTTGTTTTTTTAAAATTGTTTTATGTAGTATGTATTTTTGGGTTTTGATTTTAATCATTGAAATATGATTAGTATATTTTATAATTGTGTTTTGACAACTAAATAGTATAAATTTCAGATTTTGTATGGTTTTAAATTATGATTTTTATAAAGTATTAAAAGTTAGGGTTTTAATTATTAAAGTATTGATTTTTAGGGTTCTAACTTACAATTGATTTGGGGGTTTTATATACCTATTGATTGTAAATAACAATAAAGCTTAAAGACTACATTTTTATGGAGTATTAATGAGTTTTTAATAAATTAATATTG